ATCTGTTGATAATATCAAAGTTTCTATTTGGTAAAAAGTTTATGTTAAATCATTAAGTATTTTTTCATCAATGTGACCCTTTACTTCAGCCACGAATAAAAGTATTTTTCTTCCTAATTATTCCCAATGCTTTTGGCTTTCTTTGTTGCGTGTATGACAAATGATAACTACATTCAAATTCCTTCCCGGCATATACATTTTATGGTCAGTATATTGAATGAAATCATGAGGATTAGATGAAAATGATGAAGGATATAATGGAATTAAAGTCAAACACCAACAAATGAGTCATAATGTTGGAAGGTCCTCATTTGATACATTGTAGTTTTCTGATTATATAAAGTTTATTAATGTGCGTGATTCCTTAAGATTTACTCTATTGTTGAACATTTGATAAACCACCAGTAATTCCATTACGGAGGATGTGAAAGCTTCAACTGAATCTAGAGAGTCATTGGGTATATTATTTTTTTAATGTTATAATTTTCTTAAATTGATTCTAAACGTTGAACATCTTCATCTTTATTGATTTTTACGACATTGCAATAACAACACATTTAACTGACAATTTCTTTTGGTATGTGGTTTCATTTTATCGATTCTATCTAATGTTGGTTTATTAGCATATGTAAACGCTTTTACCCCACACATTTTGCATTTAGATGAAAGAATTAAATCGTTGTAGTAATTGATAGTCATCCATTGAAACATTGTTTTAGTATCCCTTTTCTTGCTTTTTCATCTTGTTTCTTATATGAATCAATTTTATATTTCAATACTTGTTTGTTAATTCAAAACTTGATCCACATTTTCTTCCTTCTGGATATGTCGTTAGGAGAATTCTTATATGCTAACGGGTAACGAATCATTGATGCATTCGATGATTAAAGAAAAGATTATGAAGCATGTCAATTTTATAAACAAATGTTTCTTCAAATAATTTTATCAATGGAATCATCATATTTCAACGTCTTTATTGCAATAAATGAATAAATATTCTAATTTATTCTCAAAATTTAGATCATTGAGAATATTTGTAATCCTGAATCGGAATATTGTTTCTTGAGTTAATGCTGAATAAAAATGAATCTTGAGTGAATGGTTCCACTTTATATAATTCATCTTCGTAAATTTCTCCATGCTGATGAATTGATAAGGAAAAAAGATTTAACACAGTGAATTTATTTTCCGAAATCTTGAGTGAATTGGTCTAATGTTCCAACCCGCTATATAATTTCTGATGTCAATAAACTTAATTCTAATGGACAGTTGTTTCTTTTACAATGATTTGCTTAAATTGAGAAGAAGAACCCAAGCATTGACTTTTATTTCCATTTTGCAGTGTTAAATCACGAAGAATTAAATTTAAATCAAACTTTCCGAATTTAAAACCTATGATAATTCACTTGATTGAATTCCTCATCTAGAGTTTCTGTTAAATGCTTACCGTCTGTTTTTTCATTAATTATGGACAAAGTCCCCCGCCGTTTGGTCCGTTTGCGGCTTCAATTAATTCTTCATATTGTTCAATATATTGATTTTAGCAACTAAGAACAGCGTTGAAAATTAAATAATTCCAATCCAATCAGAGATAAGAATCACTTGATGTAAGCAAAAATTCCTTCGTAAATTTTATCACGGGTCTATCAACCTCGCCGCTTCGTCTGACTGAAGACCTTCAGACTCAGAAGGAGCCGTTTGCGGCTGATTTATTTTGGACAGTTGATGATACCATAATGGTTTTAAGCAAGCGTTTCAAAGTTGCACATTCAGAAAGTGGAATTCTTCTTTAGTCTCTAATGTTTCGAAGTCCAAAAGTGAATATGGGAGAGTAGGTCTTGTTGGGGTTTATAATATTCCTGCAAATTATGTGCTTAAAGCCATTGATATATCTTCTGTTGCGTGAATCATGTTGGATGCATATGGTTGGCGGGGGTCATTTGCAATTTGAACGTCTTGAATTAATCTTCCATTATTTTCTTTACATTTGCGTCACACATCTTAAAAATCTTCTTTGGTTTTTCCTTTCTGGTCATCACGGATAGAATATACTTCGTTCTTTGCAAAAGGCAAACTTTATATCCGTGTAGATGCGTTCAACGTCTGTAATTCTGTCAGCGGTGGGAAGTTTCCACATGACTCTGTGTTAAAAAATAGTTATACTGTGGTCAAATTCTGGATCTTCATATTGATTTCCAACTAATGGAAAGTCTACCTATTTATGGATCTAGTCTTTCTGGTTCGAGGGTCACAATAATAATAAAATCGAATATTAAACGTTAACATTCTTGCTAAGGCCTCTCAGCTTTCTGGAATTGAAAGTGTTCAAATCCTTTTCTGATATGCATCTATGGCTTCAAATTTAAAATAAACTTCTACGAGTTTTAGGATTAAACACCATAGGAATGTTATAGAAGCGTTTAAATAACTACTTCTATCCTTTCGGGCTCTATTTGATATCATTTCATTTAGCGTGTCGTTTTTGGTCATTATGAAAGGAATAAAAAAGTTAAAAAGAATCAATAAAAATTATAGAGTTTATTTTTTAAATGCGCTATCGTCAATATAATTGTAAGCTTGATGTTGTTATGAATATATTTTGGGGGCCTTCTCTGAAAGGTTTTCATCATTTCACGATCTAATAAATTTGTAGTAGATTCCAAAATATAATTTTTTGAAGATCTTTCTTCATGAAGATTTTTAACTTCTGATTAACTGAAGCTGGGATATTCAAATAAACCCTGCTTGACTTCAGTCTCATTATATTATTGTCATACTTCTCTAATTCCTGTAAGTTTTCATCTGTATTTTCATCTGGCTTATTGTTTTACCAGTCTTGTGCAGGATTTCATGGCGGATATTTCTATTCGGATGTTTCTTTAATCCGTTCGTTCATAAATATTCAGGGAAAACATCCAGGTTCTTTATGGTTTTTTTCTTCAGATGTGGGATAGTAGTTAATTATAACTCATCTGAGTGGGTGGTGTGGTGGGTGGTTATTCATTTTATCCATCATTAATCTAAATGCAGTTTATTTAACTCCGCGAATTTTTGACAATTTCTTATAATAATATTTTAATTATAACTTCATAAACTCGCCTCCTCTAATATACCGTTTAAGAAGAAAAAAGAAAAAAAAAAAAAAAAAAAAAAAAAAAAAGGGAAAGTGGGGCTTCCAGGCACTTCGTGCCTTCTACCCTGATGTTGAGTTTTAAAGTATAAAGGGAAGTTTTTTATCGGAGAGCCTTCTTCATTCCTCCATTGTTCTGGGAAGAAGCCTTCTTTCTTGGTCGAAAACATTATATAATGTTTCACTTTTCACCAAATTATATTGTTTCCATTGCCTTTGTCACTTTTTCTGTCACTATTTCAGAAAAAACATTTTTATTATTATACTATAAAATCGAATTTACAAAACCCTCCGTTACCGGTCTTTGGAAATAAAGTAAATGTAAAGATATTATATTGAAGAGAACTTAAGAAACTACCGAAGGGGTCTACACATTTGTAGATTTTGTTCGTGACAGTTTACTATAGGTGATCTCAGTTTGTGTCGCAGAGCCAATAATTTCCTGACTCAGAAGGATATATGCAGATGATCGTTCGGACAACTATATGGAACGCGTTCTCAAACATTTATCTAGAACACAACAATATATTTGAAAGAGTTAAAAGAGAAGAAGATTAGCCTCATAGGTAAGAGTGGAACGGCGATCAGGGGTGGATACCATTAGATGAGAAAAATTATTGTGAGAAGGTTTTGAAAAAAAGCAGAATATATAGGAGCGGAGAATAGAGATATCGTGCTAGGACTATTAGTGAAGAGGTGCGGCGTCATAGGCACTTTGAACTGCCTTCGTTGCTGCATCTGTTTTTCGTCATATTTGTGCTACTTCTTTAACTCTTTGTCGAAACCTTCAGACTTCAGTTTCTTTCCAGATGAGAAGTCGTTCACTTGTTTCACCTTACTATGAAGAGCTTCGAAGGCGTTCTTAAAGTCAGCATTTGTTAAAGCTTCATTTGAACTGTCTTCATCCGCTTGTATTTTTGTCCTTATTGACCCTATAAGTTGGGCTGCTTTAGCGTTGGCTTGGGCATCTAACCAGTCATTGTTAGCTTTTATATATTCTGCGCTTTTCATTGCCTTTTGCATGGCTGCGTCGTTATTTTTACTTTCTTGTGCTAAGTTTTCATACTGTACGGTTTGGTTTTGCAACTGTAAAAGTTTTTCTGCCTTTACATTTGCTTCAACTTCTTTTTTATACTCATCGCTATCCATATATGTCTTCAGGGCTTTTTGTTTTATCTCTTCATCTTTCAGTACTTTATATTGAGTAGTATGGTTTTTCAAATTTATAACATCTTGTTCCATTTTTGCTACTTCTGCTGCTTTTTCTGACACTTTTTTCGCATATTCCTCTGTACTTAGTTCTTTCAGTTGTTCTTCTTTCTTCTTTTTCTCTACGTTTAACTCATTGAGTTTCTTTGTGTGTCTGTCATATTCTAGTTTCTTTTCGTTTTCACTTATTTGCTTCTGTATGTCTATGTTTGACTTTTTGACATCTGTTATTTGATTTTTGAGTGAACTCAAATTCATTTGACTTTGAGGGTTATAGCTGTTCCGTCTGCAGCTCCACCATAGCCTGCCATTTTCGCTAAAAGTGCCGCTCTTAAACCTCCACTCTGTGCACCAACAACTCGGTTTAAAAGCATAGGATTGCTTGACATTTGTTGCAACATAGTGGGGTCATTCAGCATTTGTTGTTGCAACTGTTGTTGTGGTGTCAGTTTTACTATTGGATGTTTCAATGCTCTTCCTCTT